ATTTTTGATTAGTAATATGCATTGCTAAGAACTTCATTTGGATAACTTTAAAGGCGATTTTCTCAATATTTTGATTTTTTTGCACCCTCAGATTCCAGATTTTATTGTATCTCGGCCAAATATTGGCCTATCCTAACAAACCATACATCAATGGAAAGCTTATTTATTCAGTTTTCAGATGATGCATAAATCGCAATTTCAAAAAATTGACCCTTATGACTGGTTTTGTGGTCCAGGGTCACATATATATTTTAACTAAATATACAATTTTAAGTTTAATTTACTTACTTGAAAAGGTCATTCTACACTTTGTAACTACGCTTTAATTAATTAAACATTTTTTTGCATAGAAAACATGACAATTTTTTTCTAAAATAAAAAAATGAAACAGTGTTAATGGTACAGTGGCAAAACCAGCCTATGTAAATGAGCTCAGTTATCATTGGCTAAACTCTTCGCTTGTGACAAACACATTGTGGTTTATCAGAGTGGGCCATACAAGGAAAATCTTGTTTTATGTTTTACTTGCATATTGTTCTTTAATGTTTATAGAGATGGTACGTCTCCCTTGAAATGTTTTCCATCAAAATGATCATCGATGGACTTTTGACGTCACCCAGAGTTCAGCACGTGCTCCTCAGTAAGATGGTTGGCAGCCGTGTGGTTTGGGATGGTGCCCAGATGACTCTGCTCTGCTCGTTTGAGCGATGAGCGGACAGTTCGCTGTTTTTCATTCTGATCCTGTGTCGGGGGAAATGAAACATTAAAGCAATTTCCTGAAGGGTAGAGACAGTAGCAGAGGGCACATTCCCATCCTCTAAGAGTTCATTTGTGGAAATTAGCAGAGATGACTAAAGTTGTCCTCCTAAGGCGTTAGTAAGAACACTGATCGACCTTGAGTCAAACTTGTCTGAAACCTGATTTCTTGAGCCCTGTCCTGCTTCGCTTCAAAGAAGTCCTGCCCCAGGACACTTTAGAGAAATTAAAACAAGCCCATGAATTAAATTGGACATTGATCTTCTAACCTTGGGGTATTGATTCTGTTTAAAAGGACACTTGATATTCGTTTTAGTGTTCACAGCAAGTGATCTCACCTGATGAATGTACAGATATATTAAACCAAGTTGTCTTTTACACTTAATTTAATACATTAGAGTGAAGGTTATATTTAACTTAAATCTACTCTTCAGTCGATTACTCTTTAGAAAGAAACAGAGGCTTTTAATAGGTTCTGAAGTGAAGTGAAGTGAAGTGACGTGACATGTGGCCAAGTATGGTGACCCGTACTTGGAATTAGTGCTCTGCATTTATCCCATCCAAAGAGCACACACACAGCAGTGAACACACACTGCTATGTTCTGGCTTTGATTTGTCAAAACACATCATTTCAGCAGCACCAAATGGAATCTCAAAATGAATGACTGTTTTCAAACAGGTTTTTCAGACAAGATCTGCTGTTGGTCTGAAACTCATGCCATTGGTTGAGCCAGCATTGCAACAACTGATTAGATACTTACACTTTTCAAGATAATCAACCTCTTATTTTAACATTAAAGATGAGACACATCACCTTAAAGTTTAAACAGACTACTTAGATATCATCTAAGTAATGCTCACATTTTCCGAGGCCTTGCATCGCATATTGATGCCCAAGTGCCATATTAGTGTCACTTTTAATCTGAAATTCTCCAGAAGTTTTCCATGGGTATTCCCCTGAAACACATATCACATCCAACAATAAATAAGAGACTGTCTGAAGAAGGAAACTCCCTCATCTCATCCAAAGCCAGCACAGAGGCTGCTTTCTGTCTCCTCATCTGATAACCTGCACATCACCTAGTTGTTTAAGGATGATGTATTACAGGCTTAGTATGAAATACACGTGTCAAAGATACACTGTAAAAAAAATTCCGTAAAATTTACGGTAAAAAAACGGCAGCTGTGGTTGCCGGAATTTTACCGTAAAAACTACGGTAGCAACGTCTTAGGTTTTACAGTTTTAACTTAAATTTAATTTACCGTTAACCATTTAACAGGTTTTTACTGTAGCATTTTTACAGTCTTTTACCGTTAAATTCACGGTCATTTTTTACAGTGTAGCACTGAGTAGAGGGACTAGACAAAAAAATCTTCTTCTGTATTGATATGTTTTTTTCCCAACTTCGGGTATGTTTTTGATTGTTTGTCAGATTTAAACTAGTTTCTTTTTGTCACATGAATGTTCAATCTTTTTGTTTGTTTTTGTTTTTATACATTAGCCTTCCTTTTTTTCTACTTTTCAAATTCCTTTTATTTGTAGATTTTAGGCTTTTATCCTTGTTCCCAAAAATGTCAATAAATTTAAGTATTAACTATTTCGATATTTATTGGGGAAGTCCTTTATATAAATTATGACTTTCCCCAATTGTGACCATAAACAAATGTTTTGCCCTTTATGAAGTTTTTTTTCAAAAATCAGTTTACTTGTTTACCAAAAAGACAACAGTGTCAGTGCAGAGCATGAAATGAAATATGAGACATATATCTGACGAAAATCAAGAAAAATAAAGTCTTTTTTCTTCTTCTTCGTCTTCTTATTTTTTTTTGTCAGTAATTTGTCAATATTTTTTTGAATAGTCTTTTAAAAAAGTGAGAATTTCATGTGTATTTGTTTTACATAAAATGCTAACTAATTAAATTAGCCCTAGTAAGACAACAGAGTAAGCCATTTTATTACAGTAATGTCATTTCTATTACAGAATGATATCAAAAATCTTTTGTAACCTTATAAATGTCTTTAACAGTCTCTTTTAGTCAGTTTAATGTGTCTTTGCTGAACAAAAATAATTAACTTTTTTTTTTAAATAACTAACATTTTTGTATTTTTTTTAATTAATATTAGTAGTATATTTTAGTAATATTTTGACCTCAAGCTTGTGATCAGTAGAGTATACTGTGACTGACATACAGTACCTAATACTTTACACTATAAAATAAAGTTATTAATGTTTAGGCATTTATATATTCATAATAAATGAATATATATATAAAAAAAATCATAAAATATACACTATACGTAATTTTTGTCATTTAGTGTCATACAATCATGTATCATGTATCATGTCATAATGAAACAAAATCGAAAATCAAAGACACATTGACATGCACACACCCAGACAAAAACACTCTAAACGAACAGATAAACCAAAAGTTGTAAAATATCCATCTCACGCTAAATTTAGTGAGCTTTATGTTTAAAGAAGTGCAGGAGGAATGTTCCTGGTGGTGATGTTGTTGAGTGGGTCTGTGGCTCCAGTGTGCCAGGTTGTAAGTCAGACTGAAAGAATGCTGTTTATGGGGGATTGAGTCATGCTCTTCCACCATCAAACAGCCGCCTGGCCAACAAGCCATTTCCATGCTTATTAGTTACCCTGTCATCCTTGATCTGTGAGAGAATTCACATTTAGCTTGTCTACATTATTTCATCACATTTAAAACATGGCACAGAGGATAGATGCATTGCTTGTACTGCTGAGTGGTGTAAATGTAAATGGATTTTTTAAAGACGTTTTATATGTGCTGTGTGTTAGTTTAATATAGGAACAGTGCTACTGACATTTTTTTCAAAGTAGTGATTATACACAAAAACTTTATTGCATTGATGTATTGTTTTAATTGGAAAATATATATCTTTAAAACCACTGATTTGTAAAGGTGATAAAGAGAAAAGGATTTCAAACAAGTAGAACAGTTGTGGGCTAAATCTGTGATAAAAAAAAACCCAGTATATTATGTATTTCTTTGACTGAATGAAAGCTGTAAGGGATATAAGCATTATGTAGACTATGCATGGTTTTGTGGTTGGGTGTGTGTCTTTTTTGTTGAATGTCTATTTTGGAAAAAGTGCTGTAGTTGTACCAGTAGACAGTGTCTGTGGCACTTTGAGGTTATTCAAAGAATACCATGGTGGGTGTCTTTGCTATAGCCATTGTAGTTGTTCAAAAAAAGCATGGTATTACTCTGGTACCTGATAAAACATGACCAAAGGGGGATTTTTTTAAACTACTTACTTTTTTACTACTTATTTTGTATACAGTATATGTAAATTGGGATAGTCTGGGATATAGATTTAGATTAACTTGAAATTATTTCATATACCCTATTTAATTTTATAATTTTTATGTAAATGAAATGAGACCTAAGTATATAGTATACTTTTGTTTTTAAATAAACCAAATAAAATTGCAGCTGAAATGTCAGTTTTAACCATGCATTTCTGTTGTATGGAAATGTCAGCTTTGACATTTTGTTTCACTAGAAAAAAAGGTATGATTTTTATGCATCATATGCGTGGGCTGGTGATAACAGAATTTAAATGTTTTGAGGAATGTGCAACACGATTGGACTAGTCAAATTTAGACATGTTATTGAGTAATTTTTGCCATAGTGAATTAGACAGAGTTTTACCAAATACCAGTTTTGCCAAATCATACAACTTATTTTTTTTATTTACTTTATTTCATTTTTTTTCATTTACTCATTGAAAATTGATAAACTTTCAATAAAACCAAAAGATAAAGAAAAGAAAAGAAACATTAGTTGTGCATTATTTATTTATTTTTTGTTAGTGGAGCAATAGAGAAATTCTTAATGGTGTAGATCTCTTGGAGGGAATAGCTGAATTTTATGTGGGGTGTCTCAACCCACTAAAAATAAAATATTGCAAATACAAAGTGTTCCTCACAATTTATTTCTCTCTCTGTCCAGCTTGTTTTCTACACGGTGATGAAGACCCTTTACACGCTCGGACACAGCCTCTCTCTCATCGCGCTCATCACCGGCAGCACAATCCTCTGTCTGTTCAGGTCTGAAACGGAGCCTTAAATAGTTCCAGTAGTGTGTCTGTTTTATATTACGCTACACTTTGTATGGATGGATGAGCTTGCCTTATATTGTAATCGTTGAGGAGTTGAATTTGGCACGCTTCTGAACGACTATATTTTAAACTTTTTGACATTGAGGATAAACATTATGCTTGGCGCTTGGTTTTAACCCGATAGTGTTTATCTATCTGGAATGAAATTAATAATTTAGGAAGTTTTCTGGAGATGTGATGAATGGAACAGTGCTCAAGACACTCTGCATTTTTCTCACAAACTAACCATAAGCACAATTAAAATAGAAAGAGGCCATGTTTATTTACAGCTCTGTCTCGCTCCAACAGAAAACTCCACTGCACCAGGAACTACATCCATCTGAACCTGTTCTTCTCGTTCATACTGAGGGCCATCGCTGTGCTGGTTAAAGATGCCATTCTGTTTTCCCACGAGAATGTAGAATGTACAAAGCAGCCATCACTGGTTAGTGAATCCATCCATCCTGAAGATCCACAAGTAAATTAATATAATTTAATGTTGAAATGTATATTATTTATTTTTTTAAGAAATTAATACTTTTATTCAGAAAGGGATGGATTAAATGAATCAAAAGGGACAGTAAAGACATTTATAATGTTGCAAAAGATTTTTTTTTCAAATAAATGCTGTTCTTCTGAACTTTCTATTTGTCAAAGAAACCAAAATAACATATCAAGGTTTCCACAAAAATATTAAGCAATTGTTTATAAACTCACAGTAACTGAGAAGTCAGAATTGTAAGAAATGAACTCGCAATTACCTTTTTTATTTTGTATTCCGTGACAAAAACAGAATTGCGAGAAATAAATTTTTAATTATGAGATGTAAACTCGATTTGCAAGACAAAAAGACCGAATTCTGAGTTTATATCTTGCAAATCTGAAGAAAAAAAGAAGAAAAAATAATTGTGAGAAACAAAGTTTGATTGTGAGTTAAATAGTCATTTTTAATGATCATTTTTAATTTTTTGATTTATTGATAGTTTTCAACACTGATGATAAGAAATGTATCTTGAGCTTGAAATTAGCATAATAGTCATTTCTGAGTAATGGCTGATGAAAATTCAACTTTGCCATCAGAAATAAATTACACTTTAAAATATATAAAATATAAAACAGTTTTTTTTTTTTTAAATGCAATAATATTTTACTGTAATGTTATGCTGTATTTCTGATCAAATAAATGTCTGAGTGAATATAAGAGGCATCTTTTACAAACATTAAAAATTCTTATCACCCTAAACTTTTAAACAAATGTTATTGTATAATTTCTGCACAATTAGTGACTCAAAAACAAATACAAATAGTCATTGTTTCGCAACACTATGTCATTTAGTCTTCCATTGTTTGGCCAAACAGGTAATCCCATTCCCATTCCTCACGGCATTGGTTAAACCAGAAGTTGTCCTACCAGATGCTTCAAACAAACATAGCAATGTTTGAAAGAGCTAATACTTTTCAGGAAGTCCACCTTCAAATGGTTTACTTTCAGCTGTCTGCTCTGCACATTAAACTGGGATATGAGACAGTATTCTAACATCGAAAAAATTACACACTTCACCTTTAAGGGTCTGAACTGAGCTAAGCCAGTTTCTTAAAACATGCATAGTCAACTAAACACATTATATGCTTCATCAGTTTTAAAAGGTGGTTATTTCTGTCACTACAGACCCTAAACCCCCTAAATTTGTACTCATGTTTGTTTGTCACAGTCTTTGGCGTTTCAGAGATAAGTAGTGCACATTGAAGTTCTCTATGCTTGTGTTTAGATTGGTTGCAAGGCCAGCCTGATCATCTTCAACTACTTCATCATGGCAAACTTCTACTGGTTGCTGGTGGAAGGGCTGTACCTCCATACTCTACTGATGGTCATCTTCTCTGAGAACAGACACTTCATTATCCATCTCCTCATTGGCTGGGGTAAGTCTTCATTAGAAACACTGACCTTTTTAAGCTGTTTCCATTTTCCAAAACCAACTTTTCAGTCTTTTAAAGCTATTCATGTCAGTGTTTTCATATATAAGCAGGTATTTGAGTAAATAAAGGATTATTTGAGTCTAAAGCATAGAGATTTTCTACTTCCCACTGCATTTGATGCTTTAGCTTTCATCTTATCTGACACGAACACATGCGTGCATAGAAAATCATTTGAGAACACACACCTCTTCACGGTGTAGCACTGAATGTCTTTTCCTTAATTCATTCAAACACTTCTGAATAGATGTCGCTCACTACTCAGAGGAAAAACAGCGTCGGGAACAAGATGACGTGCCATCGGTCTTGTTCAGTCTGTTTGTCTTACATTATGTATTAGTATGTCTTTGTAGATTGTTGTGTCCCTGGAGTTTCCAGGCGAGAGAAAGGAGAGCAGGATCTTCATTCATTTCTAGACGAGAGGCTTGGGTGTGGCTTGCTAGACTCATCATATCAACACCTCATTAAGCTTCTCTTTCATCATGACAGTGACGACTAACATGGCCTCTTTAATCATGTTCTGTTTACCAGCATTTCCTCTCCGGCTTTACCTCTGTTTAGAGATAGTGACCCCCATCCCAACAGGAAACTATTGTAGACAATAAAAGTAACAATTTCTCAGCAGGTGTCTGAGCAAAGATGCTGTGTCCTAACATCACATTATCTGTCTGTCTATCTGTCTGTCTATCTTTATATAGCTGTCCATCTGTCTGTCTATATGTTTGTCTGTCTGTCTATCTATCTATCTATCTATCTATCTATCT